TTCTTGATGAAAGTACTGAGAAACCTTTTTTTTTAAACATAAGAAGCTAAAAAAAAAACAATGAAAGGACAAATTATTTTAATTTGTAAGCAAATAATCTCGTTATATTAGCAAAGAGTAACTCTCTGTTTCAATTAAAATATCATTTTTATATCTCAATTAAGGAGCTCAGCTGGATTAGAAGTAAAAAGCTGCATTGCAGTCCCAAAGGCACATGGTTCACAACCAGGACAGGATGCACAATCTCCACCCATAAGATTTACTGCCTTTAAAAATACACTGAAGGGAAAAAAAATACACTGAAGGGTCAGTTCTGATTTGAAGGCACATTACAACAAACTTCACTTAATAATAAACAAAATTATATTGTTACTGAGTGGCATTGAGTCTGATGTTCAGATTAGGAAATTAAAGGAGAGAGAAGTTTAAAAATTTCTTTGGACACTTAAGCTCGTAAACAGTAGAGTCAGGATTGGTGTTATTGTTTAGGTGTCTTCGAGTTGAGTACAAGTCGTAGCAACCCTATGAACAACAGATCTGAACCCTGTCCTTTCTGGTACCATCCTCACAATCTCTGACGCACTCAAGCCCATTGTTGCAGAAACTGTGACAATCCACCTGGTTGAGGATCTTCCTCTCCTTTGCCATCCCTCCACCTTCCCAAGCATGATGTCCCTCTCCAAAGAATAATCTCTCCTCGCAACTTGCCCAAAGTGCGTGAGATGAAAATTCATCTTCTTTGCTTCCAAGGAACACTCTGGCTTCACCTTCTCCAAGACTTATCTGTTTGTTATTTTGGCAGTCCATGGGATCTTTAGCACTTTTCTCCAAAACCATAGTTGAAAGGCATCAATCTTTCCTCTGTTATCCTTAGTCACAGTCCAATTATCAGAGGCATAGCAAATGACTGAAGAGACCATAGCCTGAATCAGGCACACCTTAGTCCTCAAGCAGACATCACTCCTCAATAATTTGGAGCATTCCCTGACTGAAAACTTTCCCACTGCAATATGTATCCTGATCTCCTGACTGCTGGAACCAAGGGTATTGATTGTGGATCCAAGCAAAATGAAGTTGTTGACAGTCTCAATCTTTTCTCCATCTATCACGATGATGACTGGTAGTCCAGTGGTGAGGATTTTTGTTTTGGTGTTTAGATGCAATTAGTAATGAAGGCTGCAGTGTTTAACCTTCTGTAGCAAGTGCTTCAAGTCCTCCTGACTTTCAGCAAGCAAGGTTGTGTTATCTGCATAACAAAAGCTATTGATGAATATTCCTCCAATCCTGATACCACTTTCTTTTTCATAGAGTCCAACTTCTCAAATAATTTGTTCAGCATATAGGTTAACTAGGTATGAAGAAAGGCTACAACCCTGACACATACGTTTCCTGATTTCAGACCATGCAAGTGTTCCCTTGCACTCTTCTCACAATAGCCTATTAGTCTAGGTATAGATTTCACATGAGCATAATTAAGTGTTCTGAAAGTCCCATTCTTCTCAATGTTAGATATAAATTGTTATGATCCACAGAGTCAAATGTCTTTCCATAGTCAATAAAGCACAAGTAGATATTCTTCAGGTATTTTTTGCTTTCAGTCAGGATCCTTCTGACGTCAGCAATGATATCCCTGAGGCTATGGCCTCTTCAAAATCCACCTTGAATATCTGGCAGTTCCTTGTCTATGTACTATTCTAGCTGTTTTTGAAGGATCTTCAGCTATATTTTGCTGTTATGTAAAAGTCAGGATTAGACATAGGATAACTTCAGAATGCCTGTTTTAACCACAGAATTATTCCCAGGAGACAGATTAAGGGCTGTGGGGGGGTGG